TATTCTTATATTATTTTTTTTTACTTGAATATTAACATCTAAGAGATTAAAGTACTTTTGGTATATACTATGTTCATCAATACACGACGATTTTAAATCTAGACTAGACCTAGTATATTAGCAAATAAAATTTAAAGTTTATTTGAATGAGAATCTCTTTTAATTTCTTGTACTCACTATATCGACGACGGTAATAGAAAGTTAAATATATATTTTAATACTGGATAGATAGTTACTAAAATTGAGTATAGTGTAAAGTGGAAGTAGAAAAATCAATGTTAAACAGAATACCCCTTCAATAGTCTGTTCGTTCATGTTTTGAAAAGTCCAAGTTTTACTTTGTTGTAGAGTTGTTGGAGACTTAGGTAAAATTTTTCAATCTTTTATGAGAAAGAATGAAAATATAGTTTTTTTATACCAAACGTGGCAAATGAGCAGGCGGCTTCCTTAATGGAAGGCAGTCACCGTCACCCATGGATAGCTGCAACATATTGAGGATGTGTTGCCGACCTTGTTTGTGAAAGAGAGAGAGGAAAGGGTGGAAAAAGAGAAAAGGTGTGGTAAGATGGGAATAGGAAAAAGCCACCGATTCTTTCGGACAAAACGCAGCCATTAAAGATTAATTCACTACGATTTTCTGTAAGAGGATAGTACTTCCTAGTTGAACCAGCCCAGGTCTATGTAGTTGTAGTCGTATGACCACAGCAACACGGCCACACAACTTTACGACATGTAAGATAAAAATAAATCGTGCAATTTCTGGGTACGCTTTTTAAAAAATATTCTAGAAATAACCCAGAGGTTGGCTATTTAAACTTAGAAGCAGGCTATTTAACAACTAAGTTGGGTTTTAACCACAGGTTTTTCCCTCGTAATTCCACCAAAACGTTTGCCCACATAATAGGAGTATCCTTTTAGACAGAAGTAGCCTTTTGTTAGACTGATTAAACTCTTAAGAATGAGTTTATTCTTTGTGATAATGTATAAACAACACAAAAAAAAAAACAAAAATTTGCAATTATTGTTCTGTTTGAATATTAATATTTCTGTTATAATTAAACCCACAATTTATGTGTAAGGGTTATTTTATATACAAATTATACTGAGGGGTTTGTTTAGTGTACAATGTACAGGAATAATAACAATAATCATAATACAGGTAAAAAATTTAATATTATGTTGCCTTAGCATTTTTATTAAATTTGTATATTAAAAAAAATATATATTACATTTAATTTTACAATATTGTTTCTTTGTACTACGGACACTGGAAATGAAATGATTCGAGCAATATTTGTACTCTATTTTCTGAATTCCCCATCAAACGTTTTAGATTCTAGATATGTCTAATGAGATAAAAAAAAATATGATGGTAATAGTATTAAGTAAATATAGTAGGAACTATCTTATAGAAAAATAGTTTTAAAATAAGTATACGTACAGAGGTTGTGAGGTAATCAACTTTTTTCCTGTTGCATGAAGAAAACTATTCATTGTGAAAATGACTGAATGACACGAATGACTTGTAATGAAATACCAAATTGATGGGTGTTCATTATGTGAAGCTTATTTTCAGCAGTAAAATATTTGTAAGTTTGAGAATATTGATTTAATAATTACTTTCAGAAATATATAATTAATTAACTTGCGCAAATTTATGGTAATATTTAAGAATTTGACTACATTTCATAGCATACCTCTCATCGTTGCCATTAGAATGATTGAAACATTTAATATTAAACACCCCTTGATTTTTACTATAAAAATTAATAATTCTGTTAGTAACTTAAATTTTACTATAATATTATTTTAAGGTGATTAACTATATGAATGATTGTTTGAACTTCTACTACTGAAATATATATTTTTTGTAATTGATAATTATTTTCTATCATTTAGTTAGATTAGCTATAAAAGCGCGTTTTTTTTAGTTTTTCTTTTTTAACTATATTTTTTTAATTTTTTTAATTCAATTTGGACTAGCTCTAACCTTCTCACTTCACTGCAGAGGTTCTATAAGAGAATTCATTAAATCTATGCTAGTACAAGTAAATATGCACTACTAATATTTAGTATTAGTAATGAAATGATTTAGTTTCTCATTTCAAGGCGAAGTTATATACTCGTATTTCATGAAAATTATATTAATAGAAATGATGAGAGAAGAATGATTTATATACATTATTACCCTTTATATACATATGTCTGTATATTGTGTATGTAGCATATTAAGATTTTATTTTGCAATCATTAAAAAAAATATATAAAAACCACAAATGGAATAACACTATTATTGGAATTATTATAATTTAATGGTTTAAACTGAAGGCTTAACACTTGTTTATAATTATTTTAACTAAATAATATCTCAAATATTATAAATTTGTTTTTAAATTGTGAAGTATTCCTCAGTATCTCAAGAGAATGTGGAGTCGAGAATTTAATTTATTAATGTGAGTTAAATGACAAAAAAATACTAATATTGGGCTAATTTAAATTCAAATGGGCCTACAACCTTCTACGAGTCCAACAGATAGGAATGTATAAAAGATTTCGCATTTATAGTAAAATCATCAGTTGTTCCGAGAGAAGCAAACAGACCAAATCAACCATGAAGATGGTTTGTTATATTTTATATTAAATAACGTGCTCCTCTTCTTTATTATAATATATTGTTGTCTAACTTATTATAATGTCTGGAATTGTGAACTAGTCAAATAAAATCAATAATTTATTTTTGAATATGTGTATTAACAGACGTTTGTTTCTACTTCTAGTTCATTGTCGCCCTCGCCCTTGTGGCTTGCGTTGCTGCTGTCCCCGTAGAGAAGGAGGTCCCAAAGATCCTCCGCTACGACTTCGAGCCACAACCCAACGGTGCATACTCTCTCAGGTAACTTCGATCAGACATATAACTACATCAGACCTTAATGGATAAAATACTCTTATAAAAATATTTTATTTTGAATATAATAAGAAATGTAATGTGTCATTATTAATAAAGTATTATTTTCTAGCGTTGAAAGCGACGATGGCATTGTCAGGAGGGAGGTCGGTGAACTTAAGCAAATCCTCGACGCTGACAACAAACCCCAATTCGTCTTAGTCGTCAGAGGAGAATACTCCTACCCCAGACAAGACGGCAGCGTTGAGTCCATCAGCTACGTTGCTGATGAGAATGGTTTCAATGCTAACGGTCCTTCCATCCCCCAGCCCCCAGCACCCGCCAGGAGATAAACACACTACGATTGGACTTTGATAAACGTTAATTGGTTAATTAGTTATGTATAACTCGATGTGTCAATGTTATAACTGTCAATAAAATTCACAGTTTATACAACATAAAAGTTTTTCTTTCGGCCCCTGTCGAATATTTTAGTTTTAAGTTGCAATAATATAACCAGATTGTTGAAAGATGAGCCTATCTATAAGAACTTAGTAAACTCAATATGGGGATACCAATTTTAAAAATGATCTGTTGTATTAACCGTTATAATTTTTTAAAAATAATATATAGATTACTTTCTCCTTTTTTCTGAACAAAAAGAAAATTCATAACAGCTTTAAAAAAAAGAAAATTCATAACATAACAGCATTTTTAAATTTTGGAAGAGATTACTAAATATTAGAAACCGTTTTCTCATCAATAAAATAAGCTTTCTTTAAGCGCTCTCTTCCCGTGGGTTTCCTACAAAATGACTAAGGGATATATTTACCAGGAAGATGGGCATCAGCATCTTACTGGAACAGGTCAACTATACTGCTCTCACCAACCCGTCTGCCAAGCGTGGCGAGTATTCGCAACTCCTCCTTATGATGACCAAGTGCAACGAACGGCCTCAAATCCTCGGCGGCCCCACTAGCCCAGTTTAGGGTAGCGGTCTCGGTAACGGTGGGACTAGAGGTGTGAATAATCCCCGGCGGACGCCCGGCTACCAATTCAAATGACCGACAACTAAATCAAGGCCGCGGGTTCAAGGTCGATACAGGCCGCATCCGGCCGAAACACTTGGAAGTCGATAAGGGAGGCTTATATCTAGGAGTGGACCTCACATGGCTGAAATGAGTGAATGATTTTATTAAACATATATGAAATAAATTATTTAAAAGGAAATACTAGGAGTCGTTCCTATTAAATAATTATTGTAAGTTATTCTAAATGTCCAAACCCAATGTTTCGTTAAATGAATTGTAATATTTCCAAATTTGGTTAGGTAGAGAGAGGAGCTTAGACAGTGAAGGTGAGAGATAATGCGTTTTCGACAGGGCCCCTTAAACCTACACCTGGGTCGTAAGTTCCAGTCACTGTTGAAGCTCCTCTCCCTGCAACGCTATGGACCCGGCACCCGCACGGTGAATCCATTCAATGCTAAGAGTTTTCGCCTCTAAACTCTGAACGTATGTAATGCGATGTTTTCTTTAAAGGTTTTCTTGAAACTTTTTCAATAAAAAAATGTGGTAAAGAATAAAACAAATTAATGGAAAAATTAAGATTACTTGGATGAAATATTGACTGAACATAAACAGTTGCAAATGACTAAAATTGAAATCAAATTTTTAGAAATATTTTTGTAAAAACATCTTTTCCAAAATATCGCGTGCCCCAACATATAATTTTAAGTTCCAGAGTTCCGAGAAAACATATATGTACCAATGACGAGTCTCTGTCGAAAGCCATTATGAATTTTGTTTTTTGATCAGAAAAAAAGAGAACTTAATCTATATATTATAAAAAAAAATTATAACGGTTAATACAACAAATCATTTTTTAAATTAGTATCCCCATATTGAGTTTACTAAGTTCTTATAGATAGGCTCATCTTTCACTAATCTGGTTATATTATTGCAACTTAAAACTAAAATATTTGATAGGGGCCGAAAGAAAAACTTTTATGTTGTATTTAAACTGTGAATTTTATTTACAGCTATAACAATGACACATCGAGCTATACATAACTAATTAACCAATTAACGTTTATCAAAGTCCAATCGTAGTGTGTTTATCTCCTGGCGGGTGCTGGGGGCTGGGGGATGGAAGGACCGTTAGCATTGAAACCATTCTCATCAGCAACGTAGCTGATGGACTCAACGCTGCCGTCTTGTCTGGGGTAGGAGTATTCTCCTTTGACGACTAAGACGAGTTGGGGCTTGTTGTCAGCGTCGAGGATTTCCTTAAGTTCACCGACCTCCCTCCTGACAATGCCATCGTCGCTTTCAACGCTAGAAAATAATACTTTATTAATAATGACACATTACATTTCTTATTATATTCAAAATAAAACATTTTTATAAGAGTATTTTATCCATTAAGGTCTGATGTAGTTATATGTCTGATCGAAGTTACCTGAGAGAGTATGCACCGTTGGGTTGTGGCTCGAAGTCGTAGCGGAGGATCTTTGGGACCTCCTTCTCTACGGGGACAGCAGCAACGCAAGCCACAAGGGCGAGGGCGACAATGAACTAGAAGTAGAAACAAACGTCTGTTAATACACATATTCAAAAATAAATTATTGATTTTATTTGACTAGTTCACAATTCCAGACATTATAATAAGTTAGACAACAATATATTATAATAAAGAAGAGGAGCACGTTATTTAATATAAAATATAACAAACCATCTTCATGGTTGATTTGGTCTGTTTGCTTCTCTCGGAACAACTGATGATTTTACTATAAATGCGAAATCTTTTATACATTCCTATTTGTTGGACTCGTAGAAGGTCGTAGGTCCATTTGAATTTAAATTAGCCCAATAATAGTATTTTTTTTGGTCATTTGACTCACACTAATAAATTAAACTCTCGACTCCACATTCTCTTGGGATACTGAGGAATACTTCACAATAAAAAAAAAATTAATATAGGAGATATTATTTAGTTAAAATAATTATAAACAAGAATTAAGTCTTCAGTTTAAACCATTAAATTAGAATAATTCCAATAATAATGTTATTCCATTTGTAGTTTTTTATATATTTATTTAATGATTTAAAATAAAATCTTAATGTATTTTATATATAATTTAAAATAAAATCTTAATTTTCATGAAATATATAACTTCACCTTGAAATGAGAAACTAATTCATTGCATTACTAATACTAAATATTAGTAGTGCATATTTACAACTAGCATAGATTTAACTTGAGATTGGTTATCCTTTAAAGTAGTTGCTTAAAATTTTTGCGATTTACTTTGATTTCAGCGGTTCGAACAAAGAAGGATTTGCAAATTTTTTTTCGTACACGGAATTGCTCTTGATTAATATTAACAATAAATTGTTATTAAAAATAATTGGGCAATGAAATATCAAGGTATGGTTGATGTGTCAAAATGCAATATATTCACTTGTTATAACTTGTCTTTTCACATTAATTTTGTTCCTGATACCAATAGGAATTCAATAATTTGATAACTGTTTTCCTTTATCCTTATTAGGTCCGCCAGGATAAGTGAATTCTTTTATAGATCCTCTGCAGTAGAGTGAGAGAGATAAAGCTAGTCCAAAATTGAATTAAAAATTAAAAAAATATATAGTTAAAAAAGAGAAACAAAAAAAAAACACGCTTTTATGACTAAGACAACTAAATGATAGAAAATAATTATCAATTACAAAAAATAAATATTTCAGTAGTAGAAGGTCAAACAATCATTCGTATAGTTAATCACCTTAAAATAAAATTATAGTTAAATTTTAGTTATTAACAGATTAATTTAATTCATAGTAAAAATCATGGGGTGCTTAATATTGAATGTTACAATAATTATTACAAAGTCATGAAATGTAGTCAAATGCTGAATATTACCACTTTGCGAAAGTTATTTATTTCTAAAAGTATTAAATCAAAATCCGGAAACTTACTACTAGTTTACGCCTGAAAATAAGCTTCTCATAAAAAAATCGATGACCTCACAACCTCTGTACGTATACTTATTTTAAAACTATTTTTCTAAAAGATAGTTTTTACTATATTTACTTAATACTATTACCATCATAATTTTTTTAACTCATTAGATATATCTAGAATCTAAAACGTTTGATGGGGAATTCAGAAAATAGAGTACAAATATTGCTCGAATCATTTCATTTCCAGTGTCCGTAGTACAAAGAAACAATATTGTAAAATTAAATGTAAAATATATTTTTTTAAATATACAAATTTAATAAAAATGCTGTGGCAGCATAATATTAAATTTATTATCGGTATCATGATTACCATATTGTTATTATTCATGTACACTAAACAAACCCCACAGGTATTTGTTTATAAAATAAAAACTCATGCTTAAGAGTTTAATCAGTCTAACAAAAGGTTACTTCTGTCTCAAAGGGTACTCCTGTTATGTGGGCAAGCGTTTTGGTGGAATAACGTGAGAAAAGCTTATGGTTAAAAACCAACTTAGTTGCTAAATAGCCTGCTTCTCGGTTTAAAAAGCTTCTGGGTTATTTCTAGAATATTTTTTATAAAGCAAAAGCATTTATTTTTATCTTACATGTCGTAAAGTTGTGTGGCCGTGTTGCTGTAGTCATACGACTACAACTACATAGACCTGGGCTGGTTCAACTAGGAAGTACTATCCTCGTACAGAAAATCGTAGTGAAGTAATCTTTAATGGCTGCGTTTTGTCCGAAAGAATCGGTGGCTTTTTCCTATTCCCATCTTACCACACCTTTTCTCTTTTTTCACCCTTTCCTCTCTCTCTTTCACAAACAAGGTCGGCAACACATCCTCAATATGTTGCAGCTATCCATGGGTGACGGTGACTGCCTTCCATTGATAAAGCCGTCTGCTCATTTTCCACGTTTGGTATAAAAAAAACTATATTTTCATTATTTCTCATAAAAGTTTGAAGAATTTTACCTAAGTCTCCAACAACTCTACAACAAAGTAAAACTTGGACTTTTCAAAACATGAACGAACAGACTATTGAAGGGGTATTCTGTTTAACATCGATTTCTCTACTTCCATTTTACGCTATACGCAATTTTAGTAACTATCTATCCAGTATTAAAATATATATTTAACATTCTATATATAACCGTCGTCGATATAGTGAGTACAAGAAATTAAAAGTGATTCTCATTCAAATAAACTTTAAATTTTATTTGCTAATATACTAGATCTAGTCTAGATTTAAAATCGTTGTGTATATATATGTTACATATATTTAATACTGGATACTGGTTCATTATGAGAAGCTTATTTTCAGTAGTTAACTATTAGTTAGTTTTAGCACATTAATTTAATAATTACTTTTAGAAATAAATAATTTAATGTCTTATGCAAATTTATGGTGATATTTATGCATTTGACTTTATTTCATATTTTTCTTCTCATAGATAGTTGCCACTAGAATGATTCAATAACAAGCACCCCACGCTTTTTACTAATTGAATTATTCTGTTAATAACTTAATTTTTAATTTTAGGTGATTAACTATAATATGAATTATTGTTTGACTTACTACTACTGTTATATAATTTCTTTGTAATTGAAAATTATTTTCTATCATTTAGTTGGGTTAGCTATAAAAGCGTGGTTTTTAAAATTTATTTTATTTTTTTTAGTTAAATTAGCACTAGCTCTATCTCTCTCACTCCACAACATAGGATCTATAAAAGAATTCATTAATCCTGACGGTCCTAATAAGGATAATAAAAAACTGTTATCAAATTATTGCATTGTCAACGGTTCTTGTTACGTATCAAGTATACCTATACAAGGTTTCAAATTATTTAGACTTCAAAAAAACCGGTGAAAATTAAGCTCAAAGATTCCGTTTCATACATACATACAACACAAGCTCAAAAGCGTGTAAAAAAAACACTAGTTTTGCTTCGATTACGTTCGCGACTACTTTGGAATTATTGAATAAATTTAGAAGTGTGTTGAAACTATAGTTAAGAGATACACCGACCGGAAAGGACTTTATACATAATACAACAGCCTCACGTGCCTTTATACATAATACAACTGTTATTCATTGTTTCTGTGATAACTATAAGGAATTTCGGGATAAATTATAGTTTATACCTTATTCTGATATGTATGCTTTTATATTGTAAAGCTTCAATAAAATCCGTTAAGAGATTTTTGCATGAAAGAGCCACAAACATCCATACATACTCACTGTGACATCAGACATAGGTCAACAATAATTAATCCATTATATATCAATTATTTGATTTAAACTCATAATATCCGCTATTTTATTTAAGAGACTACTCATGACTGGGATCTGTTCTTACTTTTCAAATAATGGTTTTAGTAAAGGTCCGATAGCATTACATCAAATCACTTCACCAAAGTCATTAAAATATCTCCTATAAAATATTAACTTAATTGTGTAACAACATGCTAATTACATAGAATATATATTTTTTTATGGAACACTAATTTACAGAAAAAAGTAAAAAACAAACAAGGTATGAAAACATGAAACAGAAGCAGGTCTTTATAGTCATTGGCGATTTCGTCCAGATAAATAGACATAAAGAAGCAAGACACGGTGTAAAAACGCACTTATACCCACAAATATTGTACCTGTAAATAAATATTGAAAAATAAAATATAAAAAAAACAAATTGATATAAAAATACTAACAAAAAATTAGGTAACCAATATAGTAAGCTTTAAAAAGGAAAAATAAATTCACGGATCAATTAAATATGTAATGAGTTAGATTTTAGATAATCTAATTTAAAGAGGAGAAGTATTTCACAATTCAATTATTCTCACTGTATACTGTATAAGTTGTTTCTAATATCTCTTATATCTAATGTAAATCTCTTTTCAAATTCTAAATTGAAATTTCGTATTCTTTGGTAAATGCAATGCAATAAATTATAATATTTATGAGTAGTAATTACATTATTTATGAGTAGTCAGTAAAAATAAAAAATAATTCAAATATAATCAATATTTCATATTTAACCAGTTTTCCTTAATGTTTGAATCGTCACTCTATGATAGCCGAGGTATTTAAACTTTTTATCTTGTATACTTGTATTTTCAATTAGCGAAGAATAGAGGAAAAAAAAAATCGTTTCTTAATAATTTATTAATTAAGTAACTGATATTGTGTATGGAGTTTGTTTAAGCCAACAACCTATTTATAATGGTTTTAGATCAAATCAATATAAAAAAAGTGTCTGTAAGTTGCAAGTGCTTTATGTTCCTCAAGGTGGTTTTATAAGTAAAAGTCGCTAACAAATCGGTACTACCTATTTATGACCTCAACATCCTACAACAGAAGTATACGTAATCCAATTTTCAACATTTCAATTCTTTCATTACGTCGCTAGAGACTTTAATTTCGAATCTTTATACGCTTATAAGTTTTTTTACGTTATTTAAAGGTAAAATATTATATTTCACTATCTCTTATAATGTTTCAGACAAAAATAATCATCCAAGTTTTATTTTCTTACATTTTGAATGCTTAAAAATTAACTACATTAATAATTAACGAATTCAGTTATACAAAATATATGTAGGTATGTATGTATCCGCAGCACAGAGTTCTAGGAATTTCTTTGGTTTAATGTTATATTCCTCACATAATAATTCTCCACTATCACTGCTGTATGTAGGTGCATATTAAAATATTTGTCACTTAAAATATATTTAAGGCTTTGTGGCTTAATCGTCTTTAAGACTTCAATACGGTAGAGTACATGATGCTAATACTTACATACGCTAGATTCCAGAGTACTGTCAATTGCAGTATTCCTCAAAATCCACCACCTATCTTATTTTGTATATATACATTTAAGGACTTAAAATACTTTTGAAATAAAATAAGGTTTAAAGTGAAATAAAAATATCGTTTTAATCAACAAGCTTAAATATGTAATAATTAAACGTTTATAAACTTTAATGATATAAGCAAATCAATATTTTTTCTGATAATGTTTCATGTTATATAAAACACCACTCATGTAATAAAAATGTGCTCTTCTAAAGTCACCTGGAATAATTTTAAACTATAGCTGTTGATCTACCTAAAGCAACAGGTCGAACAACAATCACAGACAAGGTAACCTATTAGATATGCAGCGCTAAAAAAATTTACAATGTTTTTATATTGTCATTTGACATTTCAGTATACACTTACGTAAGGCAATCGGCAATAGTATAAAAGAACTTCATTTTTGCATCTGTGCATCAGTCTTTTAGTATCGACGGAACTAAAATTAACTATCAATCATGAAAGTGGTGTGTAAATGCATTATTTTATATTCTGTATTTTAAAAAAATATTTGAAATAACATAGTTTTATTATTGGTTCTACCTAAGTTGTAAAGTTTATTGTGTGTTTTCAACAGATCATTGTTGCTCTCGCCTTTGTGGCCATTGTAGCCGCTCTTCCAGTGGACGAGAAGGAACCCCCTAAAATTCTACGCTCTGATTTTGATCAAAAAGCCGATGGTGGATACCATTTCGAGTAAGGATTATTTAATAGAGATTAAAAAATATGTAGATACAATTAAAGACATGAATAATAATTATTATTTTCAATAATAATATTGTTAATATAAATTTATTGTGGTTAACAATTTTATAATGGTTTATAGTTTCGAAACTGAGAATGGCATCATCCGTGAGGAAATTGGTGAAGCGAAGGAGACTGTTGATGAAGAAAACAAACCTCGCGTCGTTGTCGTGGTACGTGGCTCCTACAGTTACAAGGATGTGGACGGCAAAGTGGAAAATATTAACTACTATGCTGATGAAAATGGATTCCGTGCGGAAGGTGACTCCATCCCAAAACCCGTCTCCAGGAGATAATTAGTTTACTTGAATACATTTAACAAATAACTAATTTTATGTTACAATGTTGACTGTGCTTTGTGATGTTTTATTGATTACAGATAAGTGCATTCTTAGTTCACAGTTGACACTGTCTTTAACGATGACTGTCTTTTTTATATTTTTTGTTACATTATCGTGAATGCAAAGGAATTATAAACATTTTTTTGTAATATTTAGTCGTGTTATTTCAATTTCCATTTAAATTATCTTTAAAAAAATATAAAAGGTATTCCAGTAGCCAATCCAGGGCTAATATGTAACCAAACGATTTCATATTCTTTATCGTTTCCATAGAAAGTTATTATGTTCAGTACAGTACAGGCCTTGTATACTGCAAACATTTATTAATTTACATCTCTATCTGTAGTTTTATATCAGTTTGAAAAGAAATTGACGTTGAGTAATTAGAATATTTTATTACTAATTAATTTCGTCAAAATTCGTTCTACTTACGGGGCATCTAACAATAACAAATTTGGTGATGATGCAAGAGCAAGCTTTGTAGTAAAATGTGGCGTTGAGTAAAATTAAGAAAAATGTTATACAGTATTTTGGATTTTTTTATTATTATGAAATTTCATTTCTTATTATTATGGAATTTAATTGATTATATAGAACTTTTACGGTATTCATAAACCTACTTGGGTACTGTTGTGAGTGAAATTTTATGAAGAAATACCGGAAAGTTAAGTGTTAAGAATACATGTTAATTAATCATTAACGTCAAATATTGTATCGTCTTCAACAGTTCTAGCAAAAGCCTGAACTGCACTCCTTATGACGACAAACGTATATATTTTATTATTTTAATTTGGGAAGCTAAAACAAATTATTAACTCTCTATGTCAAGTATTTTAAGATATTCATTTCAATCAAATCAAAAGCTTTAAATATGTACAATAAAAATAGTTTTTTGAAAAGTTACTTAATAAAAATGACTGTTTTGCCAATTTAGACAAAAATAAACTATTTGAGAAATCCATATAATTTCTTTGTAATTTAAAAAGGGTTTTGTCGTACGGTACCCTATATCGTAAACATATTTTATAAATAACCTTTATATTCAATTTTCCAAAGATATGTGAACCAAGTGTCGGCTCGGCTCTATCTTTCGTGTGAAGTATGCAAGAAAATAAAGTTTTTTGTTATAAAAAAGTAGGAGCACACACAAGAATCACATAATGAATTCAGAAATATAAAAAATTATGACTTCAAGTTTAGTATCGTCAAATAATCTTTTATGACACTATAAATTATATGTCATAAACTTCCACAATATTTAAAAGTGCACCTGCTATTTAGAAAATTAGTTGAAATGATATACATATTAATATAATAAAAAAGACATAAAAAGTTGAAGAATCAGTTTTTTTCTTGTAATATCTTATATTAAAATTTTAAATGAAACAAATATTTAAGGAAAAATCAATTGAATGTTTATCTAAATATTCGAACTTGCAACTTCTACATGGAGCTACAGTTACTTTATCAGTCCTACTGAGTAAATATCGGTAGTGACATATGTAGAGTGTTTTTTTTTCTACATCGCAAAGATGGAATATCGAGTATGACTTTAAAAAATAAACTTACATACATGATGATTTAATTTATAGAATGTTTAGTTAGCCAATTGTAGATAGAGCTTGATTAGTTCATAAAGTAAGTGGAATGCAATCTTCCGGAGGTTCGAGGTTCGAATCCAGTTCAATGATGGAATCCTGATCTTGTCGATGAAATTTTCATTCACAATAAGTCTGATTCTAAGTTCGATATTCATAATTTATACGAATGATTAAAATTTATTCAAAACATATTTCAAGTACAACCACGAGTTATTAATAGGTCATAAAATTAAATATCACTAAGATTACATTAAATATCAAATCAATATGAAAACTATACACGGAATATGTCGCAAGTTTTAAATTCCTTTAAATATATAATGAATGATGTATAAAAAAAGTTTTTAACAAATTTGAAATATCGGTTATCATGAGTTTGGCAACTTGTCGTCTTACGAAGACCCAGTCAAAACATTACGCGTTAGTATTTAGTTAGGTAGTTTTTGCAACGAAATCAAGGTCAGTTTTTGAAATGTCAGCGATTATGGGGAAAAAACTAAGTAGTAAAGATCGAACTAAAACAAAAATTCCATCGATTTAAATATCTTATCTTCATAACCTTTAAAAAAACGTTGTATAAATGATTGTCCAAATAATTGAAATATTGTATTAATAAGTCATATTTATTGTACGGGTTTAAAGTTGTTTTTAGAGGGATATTATAAAAATATAATGTTTTATAAATAGATGTATACAACATGCTATTAATAATAATATATAAATGTCAATTTTACTTATGATGTACGGATGTATGGATGTTTGGGTCTATAGATCTATGGATGTGAATATTTATCTCTTTTTTCACACAAAACTACTTAAAGAATTTCGATGAAACTTTACAGTCATTTAGTTTCGATTTTGGAATAATAGTCGTATTTCCTAATAACGCACCTGTCAAAGACTATAAACGACCAGTTGGTTACAATGTTTATTGTATTAACACTCAATACATTTCCCTCTGGGCCCAATTTCGTAATAATCGAGTAAGTATAAGCCAAAAATTATGATGATAAAATGATATATGTCACAATGTATAATTGTATCTATTGGCTTAAACTTACTATAAATACTTATATCTGCAAACAAATGACGTTGCGTAAAATGTACGATTACACACAGACATTAAATACATACCAACCACATATTTTAATTATATTAAACAATAAAATGTTACCGAATATCTTTAATAAATGCATTCTGAATGGTTATTAGCGCATACGTTATTAAAATGTAAATATGAAATAAAAATTCGACATATACATGATATAATGAATATGCATACAAAGCTAAATATCCGTTGTAGTTCAAGGGGCGTTCGATGTGACGAAGCTACTTTACTTCTGCCGTTGGAGAGAGAAATGTATATAAGAAAAGAGTCGCAAGTAAGGATCATCAGTTGCTCATTAGTTAGCCACGCACCAACAACTGCATTCAATCACCATGAAAATGGTATGTACGAGTAATATCATTATTGCAATATCTCATTTATACTTATTTTGAATTTTTATTATATATTTCATTGAATTTACTGTTGATTTTTATTAAAATGTTTTATTTTAGATAATTGTCGCCCTCGCCCTTGTGGCTCTCGTCGCTGCTGCTCCCGTAGAGGAGGAGTCCCCAAAGATCATTCTCTCTGAATACGACCAACAACCAAACGGTGCATACCGTTACGAGTGAGTTCAGCTTTCCTTATGTTCGATTATCTCAAGAATATATTAATTATAATTTTCTCATAGATATATTTATTTATAAAGAAATCAATATAATAACTGAAAAATCATTACAGATTCAAAACCGAAGATGGTATTTCCAAGAGTGAGGAAGCTGATGTCAAAGAGGTTCTCGATGCTGACAACAAGCCCCAACAGGTTTTAGTCGTCAGAGGCCAATTCTCCTACCCCAGACTAGATGGTGGCGTTGAGACCATTAGCTACGTTGCTGATGAGAATGGTTACCGCGCTGAGGGCCCTTCCATCCCCCAGCCCCCAGCACCCGCCAGGAGATAAATGACTAATGACTCGGAATGATCTTGAATAGTTGACTGTTAACAATTTATTATTTAACTGACAGTATATATCGGAAAAACATCTTCGTAAGCTACATTGATGTAATTTATACTGTTAATTGAAGTTAAAGCTGCCATTTTTGTACATTTTTATAAATGGTTACGTTATTGTGACCAAAATAAATAAATAGTAATATAAAATACATTTTTATTTATACTTTTCCCTATATTAATTTTCATTATTTTATGTATTTACTAAAATTATTTCGTGTATAAATTATTTTGTAAATAATTTAGTAACAACGACTGCATTAAAACACAGAAAAGATTAGTTTTTAATGAAAAACATAAAGAAAGGCAAAATTAATATATAATTTATTAAATCAATCCATAAAAAATCGATAAATCAGTCTTCATAAACTAAAAGATGAAAAGATCCCTTACACTTATGTTTGAAATCAAAATTATGAATAAGCTTATGATGAAAAAGGAATAACACGTTAAAATTACTTACTAAAACCTTATTTTTGTTGTTCTGTAAAAAAGAATATATATATAATTTTTAAGTTCAAACAGTTATTTATTTTAAGTCTGAGTGGTATTTAGTATTCTTGTGTGCATATCAAATACATATTAGTATTCATTTGACATGCGAACAAAAATCCTTTATGTGTATTAGGTCATAGACGGATTTGGAGATAAAATTTTTGGTATTAAATTACTTGTGTCGAGACAAAGTGAAGATTGTTTTCATTAATAGTTTGATGTGAAACAATTGTTTTTAAAGTTACTTAAGTGTTTTGATTTAATAAATAAATTTCGTCTCAAGATTATGTTTCAGTCTCTTTCTGAATAACATAAAAGTTAACAATATATATAGTTTATGCTAAAATTAAGTCTTACAAATAAAAATTTCAATGATAATTTTAAAATCTAAAAATATTTGTGCATCATTATCCATTTATTAGAGATTGGTAAAATTAAATTAAAAACTATGTATAGAGGAAGTCAGTATTTTAGGGTAGTATGCATAATTTTTAGACAAATGGTGTCTGTCCATTGTTTTAATTTTAAATTATATAAATGTAATAAATATTCTTTTCCTAAGAAGATAAAATTTTAAAACAAAATTATATTTTTTAAAAATAATCATGTCTAGAACTTTGTTACGTAAGCGCAGCATGTTAAAAATTAAAAGAACATCGCCGGGACAATATCGTTGTATGGATAAAATATCATATAACGAGTAACGCTGCTGACTCCGTTGAACGAACACCAAGCCGTATGAACTAGAAGATTTCTGATACCACACTAGCAATGGATTGGGATTGCTATCCTAACATCGGGGCAACCACGAAGTCTTGATATAGGTTTTAAGTTTTAATATGTAATTCTTATTATAATATACATATAAGTAAGTTTTGTAGTTTTCCTGGAACCTCCGGTTACCACTCTATATATGTAAGTACTTTTGCGAGAATATATTTACATATTCCTTATTTCTTATTTTATTACTTCTCCATTTCATTTTAATTAATTATTATGTATTAATAGGTGGTAGAGTCTAGCTATGGTCAAGTTACTGCAGCTTGTACATTGGCTGGCTTGACCGGGGAAGTACCATCTTCTCAGATAAGGTCAGCGTAAAGCAGCCTTTAATGGCTGCGTTTCGTCCGATGAGTGAGAGGGCCCGTTGCCCTATCTCTTTTCCTGTCCTTTCCCTTTTCACACTCTTTCCTCTCCCACTTCTCCAATCCAGGGTAGCAACGCTCCCGTAAAACTATGTTGCTAATGTCCATGGGCGACGGCAAGATATTTTTTTGCACAGGGTAAAATATTTTTTAATCTTGTAACTACCTTTATAGCACGCTAGGTTAAAAATACAAACAAAATTCGTTTTATCTGAAATTTAAATTTTGGTTTAGTAGCACAGTTACCGCTATCTGTGATGTGTATCATATCACGATCCTGGTAAATTATTATTATATGTTGTTCTAAAACAATATTTAATCACTCGAGAGTTTCATCTAAATATAATTCTTTGTTTTTTAATGTTAGCAATAAACATTTAAAACGTATAAATTAAATTGTTCTCGTTTTATGTGTTTTTTTATTATGAATGTATTTTACTGCACCCAAATGTTGAATTATTGAATACTCGTATACATCAAATCGTAATAATTTAATATACTACACGAACGTCCATTGTTAAACAACAATGAAGTTTTCAAAATCTAACAATTTCGTCTTGTTCTTACTACTTAAATAAATTATGAATTGATTCTTAGTAAAATATCAAGGATTTTAAACTTATACTTTACAGATCAAAATTATTACAATATTTTGTATAACATGGTCTGGCTGAATTATAGAACTCGACTTTTACTTATATACATATACATAATACATATATAGCTATAATGACCTCATTTGTGACTACTTAACTTTAAAAACTTTTCCAATATCGAGTTTTGTCATGTCACATGTACGTGTGATGAAAAGTCAAATCATAAAGTTTGCAAATATGCTTTTACAGACAAAATATTACTACCGATGCTGTCCTGTTCGTGGCTTGTGCATAATTTTACTATTGTCAGTAAGCTAATACTAAAATTATGGAAAAAGCAAGATTGAATCTACGATAAGAATATCCACGATTGTTGATTTATTTAATTTTGTCTAACATTTGGGTACAGTACATTACACTTTTTATTTTTAAAAACGTTCTGTAGATATCCTACTAATATTATAATACGAAATATTGTGAGGATGTGTGGATGTCTGTTTTATTCTGTATCTTTATTGTTCTTTCCAACAAAACCTGCTGAATAAATTTCGATGAAACTTAGGTGGTAGAGACTAGCTGTGGTAAGTTACTACAGCTCGAACATGGGCTGGCTCCACTGGGGAAGTACCACCCTCTCACAGAAGATTGGCGTGAAGTAGCCTTTGGTGGCTGCATTTCGTCCGATGAGTGAGAGAGCCGGTTGCCCTTTTCCTATTTCCCACCCTTTCCTACCATTTCCTTATTTCCACCCCTCCCTATTCCTAAAAAAACAAGGTTGGCAACGCATCCGCAACAAACATGTTGCGGATGTCCATAGGTGACGATACTACCTTACACCAAGTAGGCCGTCTGCTTGTTGTCACCTTTGACATAAAAGAAAAAAAAACTTTTTTCGTAAAAGTTACATTAAAACAATATATGTAATCTGAAGGCTGGTTATCATGAGTATTATTTTAATAAACTATACTTTTTGAAACGATAATATTACTGGCACGAATTAGTTTGAAGATAACACTTTTTGTTTGTAACCGTACCAAAACCCTCTTAATCGTATATCATAGTCTAAAATTTTTATCAGTGTCAACGCAAACTGAAACTTTATTTAATTTATAATTATACTTAAAACTTTATTTTAATTGAAAAAATAACATACGAGTATGCTGCTAATAAATAAAACAGTAGACTTCAGGGCAACATAGTAACTAGTAAATAGCTGAACTAAACCATATTTATATGTAACAATAAAATGAAAAAATCAACATCACTTAAAATGTATGTAAAATTAGTATAATTAAGAGCAAAAGATGTAAAATCAGATTATAATTGACACTTAGATTGTTATCTTTGCAATTTTGTTGAATTAAATGAAACTACATACTTGACCTTGTTAGCGTGAACGAGATTTGACTTATTAGTACATCTTAATTGATGTTTTGATTATTTATTCTATTCATTAAAAATCAGAATATAATACAAGCTTTACTTCACTACTTTGTTCTCACTAAATCGTAATATATTCTCATCGAAAACATACTTACGAATTTTATTTTTCTTTATGATTATTCATCAATCTTTAATATTTTGCATAAATTTTCATGATATAATATATAATAAAACTCTCGTTGCGAATTTAACTATCAATGTTGTCCTTATTTAAACAACAAAATTTTAATATAAATAATTGTTAATTTTATTAATTTCACAATTATCTTTCATTGGAAAGTTTAATTTAGGAATATATATTATTTAACTTAGTCATCAGAATGAAATACATATACATAATTATCATCCCTGAGAGACTTAATTGGAAATAGTTTTATAATTTATTGGAATATGTTTATGTATCATAATAAACCTACTCATTAAATTAGAGCACAAAATAAAACTAACTCATATTTTCTCATCCTCATACGTCTACGTATAGCTTAACTTTTTGAATTAAGGAGTATGTTAAATATTTTTCTAGATAATTCCCTTACATGCCATAATAGCCTTTTTGCACGACCAGGATGTTTTGGTATTTATATATCTTCTATATATATAAAAATGGATTGCTGTTCCTTAGTCTCGCTAAAACTCGAGAACGGCTGAACGGATTTGGCTAATTTTAGTCTTGAAATGCTCCTGGAAGTCCAGGGAAGGTTTAAAAGGTAAGAAAAATTTATTCATTACTGCGAAAACCATAAAAACAGCCCTTTTCTATTTCCCATACAAAAGTTTTTTTTTGACATTAGATTTGACAACTAACAAATATGTCAATTCTGTTTGATTGAAACAGAAAAAACCTGATTATTTATGGCCTGTAAGACGGAATAGAGTTCGACTGGTCAGCTACACCTACATATATTACTCTTGACCAAACTACGCGGACGAAGTCGCGGGCAAAAACTAGTATATCTATATATAAAAGAAAGTCGTGTTAGTTACTCCACTTACAACTCAAGAACGGCTGAACCGATTTAGCTGAAAATTGGCAGGGAGGTAGTTTAGAGCCAGGAAATTGCAATAGGGTACTTTTTATCCCGTTCGACAGCATTCCCGTGAAACTTGACATGAAACGTCAGTCACTATAAAACGTGGAATAACGAAACACAATTGACAGCTATGCAATTGACGTATAATGACAGATATGTAATAACGAATGGATGACAATTTGATATTTGTAAGAAATCTACTTTAATTTGTGGACACGTATAAAGCTTCGATTCGGTATCTACTTTGGATTCACTTTCATTTACTTAGAGAAGTTCAACTAAATAATACTTCATTTTTGTAATCGAAATGAATTCATTACTGTTGTGAAATAAAATAAAAATTTTAATTTTCAAATATAAAACAAAAAAAATTCTTCATCTTTTAATCACCAAACGAAATGTTATATAAAAGCCTTCTGGTGGCGAAACGGAGTTCGCCGGTTTTACTTGTATATATACATATATATATAACTTTGGAATGAATCAGAAAAGCAAATGTTTGGAAATTTTTATAATGTTGTTTTTTTGTTATTATAATATACTTAATTAAGAACTGGAGTCGGCATAAGATCTGATGTGCATAGTAATCAGTAGGATTATATCAGTTTTTGTGGCCTACTTTACACACTTATAATAATTTTTGTGCTTTGAAGGTTTATTTAGTAATTTTGAATCTTGATGAAGTTAATTATAATCTGGTTAATTGTAATTAAGTCAACAATTGTCTGTTTTTTAATCAATTGTAACGGCGTTACAAAAAATGACTGTAATTTTTGGTATAAATGCTTTATACACATCTCGTAAGTTTAGTTACTAATTGAGTTCATTCTGTACAATTGTAATTGAAAAATTATTAAAGGTATAAAATTTATTCTTTATTAATTTCAATGTTATAATGAACAAGAGTTTTTAGAAGTTCATAAGCAAAATACATTATTAATCTTTATATAAATAAAATTTATTTAAAGAAGTGTGCAAAATTTTTATGGTACCGTCATTTATGTTTTATTACCGTATTGTCATAAAAATAACTGAAACTAGTGGCTGATTTATATTTGAATTGAATCTCCAGATGCGTCGTTTCATTGGATATTTGGCGTTAATGGGCGCCGTTCTTTGTGTTCCTGATGGACCATCGTTAAATTCTCTCCCCCTTAGAAATCCACTTTCAAGATATAGTCCTTACTACAATGCCGCAAGTGGTACAGCACCCATTTTATCATACTCCAACACTCATGGTATTGATGGCAGTTACTCGTACAGGTAAAGACTTAGTTTTCTGGCATATACATATATTCTTTAAGGAAATAGTTGCTTTAAAAATTCATCCATCTTCAGTTTAAGCGCCAAGGTTATAAACAAACTTCCTTATCTTTGATGTTATTTCGATTTGATTTAGTACGTAAAAATATTATATTGTATAAAAAATTGAATATTATTAGCTGATATTTAACATATTATATGTATATATCATTTTAGTTTTACGACAGGCGACGGCAAACAAGTGCAAGAAAATGGATTTCTAAAAGATGCCTACATAGACAATATTGGTCAACCCCAGGGTACTCAGGTGACTAAGCAATATTTTATTCTAATTGGTCTGTTATCATGATATAAATATACGTATAATTTAAAATTAATTCTCTTGCTGATAATGTAAATTATAAATTTGAACAATTTCATCTGATTCAGTCATTAAGAAGGCTTGTATTAGTAATAGTCACTATTAAAATTAATAAAAAAAATTTAGTCATAAGATGTCACTCTAATAGATTTTATATATATTTTCTTTATTTGATCCAGGTTAAAGAAGGAAGTTATTCTTATATATCTCCCGAAGGAACACCAATTCAAATTGATTATGTTGCTGACGAAAATGGTAATATATAATATCATTAAGAGTTTATTAGTTATAATTATACAATATTTTTTATATAATTAGTAACTAATTAAATTACATCATTACAGGGTTCAGACACGGTGGTGTTCATTTTGAAGCGAACGGTAAAGGAGCAATATTCAACCCCGGATTGAATTATAATAACCCTTACAGCCACGGAAATTATCCTTTTGGACAGTATTCCCCAATAAAACCTTATGATTCCAGATACCTTTACAACCCCCGGTATAATACTTATAATCCTTACAGACCTGTTCTTAGTAACGTAAAGAAGGAAGTGAAAACCGTGTCAGTATCATAAAAACTTTCTATTTAACTTGTTTTTTTTTTTGTGTTATAAAAGTAATCTATAATTATAGAACCTCTGAAATTTATTAGTATCTTTGACTCGCAAGTAAGGAGGTATTATGTTTCTGACCGTTTTGAAAATTATCTGCTATCTTAAACTTAACGCAAAAGGCAAAATGAACATAAAGCAGACAATGGTATAATAATTTCATGAATAAAAAGGTTTTGGAATAAGATTCCGTATAATTTAAATTGGTTCAAATATTTACCATATTTTAAAACCCTAACAAATTCGATTAATATTATAATAGTAATTTTATAAATGTAAGTAATACAGATTAGAAATAGAATTTTTTTAACGTATTTGTTAAATTTACACAGCTCATACTATAGTATATAAATTTAAGATTGAACCCTAATTCTAAGAAGTGGTAATTTCATATGTTCTTACAAAATGTGAATAAAATTGAAAAGGAAAATTTTTTTTGTATATGACCAGCCGATGTAGCAAGATTAATAAATTTTTGTTTTAAAAAAACCTTGTGGTATGTCATCACACATTCTTGAAACAGGTTTTTATTTTGCGGTGATGCACCTACGATTGAATTTAATTTTACAAATTATTGTTTACTTGGTAACATGGATATTTATGTACAAACATATGTATTATGTATCTATTGAAATATATAATTTAAAATAACGTCTATAGATTAACTATCTTTACCTACAAGTCTGATAAAGGCAATGGACATTCTATATTTATTTTGCTTATCGTAATTAAAAGTTTATGGTACCATAACGTCACTGATTTTTATATAGAATAATATTCATAAGAAGGGTTTCTTAAAACGTCTGCCATGTTTAATTTTCCTGTCTGTCACATCAGTTCAAAAATAAATAAATTCTGTTTCTACAAGTAGCCGTGTGAACAGAGCTTTATAAGGAGCTTTCATATTCTTTTTGAAGTGCCGCCATAAAATATGATTTTTGAATCAGTGTCAGTGTGTAATGTGAAAAATCTGTATATATACATGGGGATAATCCGAAGTGCATCACTCTTCTCCTCACATTTTGCAAGTATTCAAGTTGAAAAATACTTTTAATCAAAAATGAAATGCTTTGTAAGTGAACAGTTCTAGTACTTTTGCTCTATACAATTTCAAATTTTGTTCATTTAATTAACCGTTTGAAGTTAATATATAGTAATGTTAGAGTTCTTTTACAGTTGCTATTAGCCATTGCCGTAGCAGCAGTTGCAGCAGATGTCAGTGACTTGCAACCGTTGTATCTCCAACAACAATATCATACAACGGAACCTATCCCCATAGTACGCCAGGAACAGATCATCAATCCTGATGGATCATACAAATGGAAGTAAGAAAGAAATTTAATGATAATAAATGTTTCTGTCTTATAATATTTAAATCATATATATTTTTTATATTACCCAATAAGTATTATCTCTAAAAACTCTGTTAAGAAAATTACATTATATTCGATTTGCTTAGTCGAAAATTATGAGGTAACGAACATAAAAAAATAAAGACGAATTAAGAACCTCCTCCTTCATTTGAAAATATTTTATTCATAGCAACAAGTTCCTCGAATAAATAAATAGGATGCTAAGGACACTTAAAATATCAATACTACTAGTTTTTTTTTGTAAACTTTTTTTTAAGTTTCACGTTAACCAACATTGTGATAATATCCTGAACATAGATTTGAAAATGTTAATTGTGACATTAAGAAAAGAAGATTATACAAGATTTAATATTTTTACATATAGGTAATATAATAAGTTTAAAATGTTTTCAGCTATGAAACTGGCAACGGTATTTTTGCTGAGGAGGCCGGGTACATAAAGAATCTGGGTATTCCTGATCAAGAGACCCAATCTGTTCAAGGACAGTATAAGTATACGGCACCCGATGGTCAGGTGAGCTTATATAATTTAAATTTTAAAATAGCGTTATTTCAATATTAAATTAAATTATATTTTAATTTAATGTATGCTTATTAACGATCCAAAACTCGTTTTGAATATCTTATGTATTTTTTTTACAATATACGTTGCAAGAAAATTAAGTTAAGCATTTCCAGTCTTATTTATTAATATAGTACTTTGATGCTAATTTATTCACTGCAGGGTTTACTAGAAGGCTAGCTTTTAGTTGCGCCTGCGCTTATAACAAAACATTAATACCCACAATGAATTATTAATACACAAGGCGCTTTTGTAACAACAATAGATTCTATGTATGAAATTAAAATTTAAAAAAGTTATATATTCTTTTATAGATCATAGAACTGCAGTACGTAGCTGATGAAAACGGTTTCCAACCAAAAGGAGCTCATCTCCCAACTCCTCCTTCGATTCCTGTCGATATTCAAAAAGCTTTAGACTACCTCGCAACCTTGCCCCCTCAGAACCAAGAACCTATCAAAACCCGACCATTCTGAGTTATTATAAACTTATTATAATAATTATTTAATCACATTGAGGCTCTATAAAGGATGTCATTACAAAATATATTTAAATTATGTTAAATTATGTATTGTTAAGTATTTTAAAATGCCAATAAAATTTGTAAAATTAGATTTGTGTTATTATTACAGAATATGCTTCACACAAATTGCAAACGCTAAGGTAATGATATTATGAAAATTTTGGTTAACATACATGATTCGAAACATAAAGGTTTCGTCGCTAACTAAATTTGTGTGCGAGAGCAAAAGCAATTCGTCATAGTTATATTAGAGATCCTTATCGATATGAAATATAAAAGTCTGGCCGAAACATGCGACCGGATCGTGAACGCATCTTTGCTTGCCCAATACTGGTTAGTTCACTTTCCCCGTCCGTGTCAAGGTCGAGCGTCATCATTATAAACCTCACAACAGAAGTTAATCGTTTATCGTAAATTTATTGATATTTTTTTTTTCATTCATCATAATAGCCAGTCTTTATCTGACCGACCTTTGTTTTAATCCACATGTCAAATGGACGAAATAATTTGAATGTTTTAAGGTTGATGTATAGTTAAGGATTTATTACATCACACAATTTAACGATTGAATATATTTGTATGTTAAATAATTAATAAGATACATGGCATTCGTTTAATTAAGGTACATAATAAAAATTAACAATATTAATTGAATACATAATTTTTTTATTAAAAACATATAAATAATGTATAGTCAAGTGAATAAAAAGGAATTATTACAATTAAATGTATAAAAATTCTAACCAGTGAAGGTATTGCTGTTCAAGAAGGCAAGACTTTTAACAAGTGTCATTTTAATTAGTCCGATAACTTTTTAGTCAACAGTATATCACTGTTGTAAGACTAAACAGTGACAGTGTGTCGCATATTTTTCTTTATATATTTGAAATTATTAAAATGATAAAGATTGTCATATTTTTTGATCCAAGCTCATTCCTAGTTTTGTTATTTAATATTCATTGCGCAGAATAAAAACTGAGGCAAATGTTAAACTTAGGAGTAAAATGTTTTTATATTCAAATTAACATCATTAGATTTTTTATTGCTTCTTTTTTGTCTGTATTCTTAAGTATGTAAGTTGTATTAGAAATCAATAAACATGTCTCTGGTTCCACATAAATTTCGTGACAAAGTAAAACGTTGATTTTAACTTCTTAACCTTTTTTTGATATGATGAAAGAAAATATTGTTTTTTAAACTCAAATATAATGAGCAAAATTGTAGGCTTTTGCTGTTTGATAATGAGAATATTATAACTACATTTTTTGCACAAATGTAAGTAATACGTCTTTTTAACGGTTTTTTTTTAATTTAAGAGACTGGATTCTTTACTATAAGTTACTGGTGGGATAGAAAAAGAAAGATATAACAATTACTTTAAAGTTGTCTCAAAGTAGAATGAAGTGAAAACAAATAAAATGAAAATTGTTATACCGAACGTATAGAACTATTTATGCAAATGCAATTGCATTTGTATTATTAAAAAAAAATACAATTTCCTATTATAACTTAACAAAAGATTATTTGTCCAGCTCCAAAAACAGTTTTGATATATTGAATTCGTTTTTTATTATTGGCATTTATACTAAACCTGAATTATTATTTTACGCTTAATAAATTCCATTAAGAAATATGATATTCTCTATAAATTCATTATAGGTTCAGATAAAAATATATATTTATTATTAATTTTATTATTTATCGCCATTTATTTATTACATATCTCTAAAGTTCCGTCTCTTACATAATTGTACTTTGATATAACATTTCAAAAGGCACTAATACCGTTGTTGTGTAGAAAACGAGTATTATTATGTTCTGCTAAGGATGTATTTGTTCTTTCATCGCACGTAATAATAAAAAAGTGTGTTGATACGAAGTATGACAGTAACCTTTCATTTCTTGATACGACGTAAGACTGAAGTTTGCTTTGACAGTTTATTTTCAACGGACCGATGTAGCCACACAATATGTTATAAAAAAAATTATGTGTACATATTTATTTTATTAGCAAATCTTTAAAATGTCACATGACTTCATCGAATTATCATATACATACATCATTTGGTCACCACTCCCTATAATAGATAATGCAACAAAATTCGCCTGAAGTCATTCTATTGACTAAAACTGCCTACAATACAATGTCGTTTACATAACGATATTTCAGAGAAATCCTTTGTTGTTTGAATACCTATTCATGAGATTGATTATATTACATAATGTAGAGTATGCTTCACATCGAAGAGTATCTTACTATTAAGAATGCCGTAATAACTGACTGACTGACTGACTGACTGATTGTGAGTTCTAATTTTTGCTATGGTTTCATTTACTATATAGATTTTGAACAAATAGTCAAAGGTATCCCTTGATATAAGCCCCATCTTATAAGGAGAGCTTAACATATCGACACAATCTCAATCTGAATGAAGAATCGTCTGTTTCTAAAATTTACATAAAAATATACTTAGTGTATATAAAAAGTTTCTTATATAAGTTTTAACAAAGCCAATAATAATAAACAAAACTTGAATGTTATTTGAAAGAAGCTTTAATAATAAATTATCTGGATGAATTTTAAAGAACATCACACATTTTTACAGAAATGTATTAAAATTTACTTAGTTTTTAACTAATAATCATATATGTATATTATTCGTGTAATAAAGTATTATTCCTTATAATATGGCTATCTCAACCCTACTCTAGAACACATATTTGTATTTAGGCAATTTAAAAAACAATTGAATTAGTGTGTTATTAGTGTACCATATATGATTAATATTATAATTTCATAATATACAAATTATTGTCCAACATTGAAGCCGAAAGAAGCAAGTTCGCTTAAATTAGTCGCAGCAATAATAGCATGGCGCAAATTGTCTTTAAATTAGCGCAGCGTAAGAAATAGGCATGTGCTGTTATGAAATTGGATAATGATGAGCAGATGGTAAAAAGTTTGTGTAATGATGTACTAATAAATTGTGTGATCAACAAATGCTCACAAACTTGCGTTAAGGTCAATACTGAACAAATGAGAATCCGTTAGCTTTGTTGACAGGTGTTACGTGAGCAAACCGACTGGGCATACATACCTTGAGGTAATGCATCAACTGTTTACTTATTTCATAGATTTTGCGACATCGAGCATTGCTAAATAAGGAATGCAGGGAGGTGGTCAACTAGAAGTTACTATAAATACTTAAATTATCAGGATATGACAGTATCAGTCAATAAACAGTAACATCTCTCGTTACATCAAGTATCCAAAAATAAAAATGAAATCCATTGTAAGTGTTTAAGTGTATATAATATCGTAATAGTGAAGTGATATTAAGTGAATAGTTATTAAATCAGTCGTTTGTTTATAATTGCTTTATTAGATATTATTTGTTATATGACAAGAAAAAATTATGTATGATATTTCAGGTTTTGGTAGCCCTTTTCGCTGCAGTCGTGGTAGCTGCCCCTCAAGCACCCACTGAACCAATCCCAATCCTTCGCCAAGACAGTGAAGTAAATGGAGACGGTTCATACCAGTACTCCTTTGAAACTGGAAACGGAATTAGCGCCGACCAGAAGGGAGACTTGAAAAAGGTTGGAGATGTTGAAGCTTTGGAGGTTCAAGGCCAATTCCAGTATCCAAGTGAAGATGGCAGCAACATCCAGCTTTCATACATAGCTGATGAGAACGGCTACCAGCCACAAGGCGCTCATTTGCCCACATCGCCACCAATCCCTGAAGCTATCCAACGTGCCTTGGCTTACCTCGCCACCGCTCCTCCCCAGCCTGAGAACGCTCAATAGACTTGATACGGTACATGATAGTTATTAAATATTTTTTGTCATAGCCAAGATGCTAACAAGATACTAAATTATATTTTCTATGTTTTTTATACCAAATAAATGTTACCTATTGTCCCAAGTTAAAAAAATCTTTAATTTGTGTTTTATCGATCCTAATATTTTTTATAGTTTTTATTATGCTTAGGATAAATAAAAAAAACCTTACACTAGAATAGCATTTTCTAATAATTATATCTTAAAATGACAAGTTTATTTTTCTCCTATTATATAATACATTATTTCATGTATAACATTCATTGTCATTCACTGATATATTAGGATACAGCTGTTTTTTCATCTATAAAAGGATATCTCTAAAGGATATCGAAAATTAACAACAATTTGAAGAAAATTAATAAATATTTACTAGCCCCACAGTTAATAGGGAGATCTAGGACATATTATACGTGCTTACAAAAAAATATAACGAACTATTGAAGTGCCAACTATATTTTTTCCTTTTAATTTTATAATATTCATCGTTATGTTTAAATGAAATAAAATGTAACACAACTCTTAATTATTTCGTTAAATTATCCGGCTTTAAATTGAAAACCTTTACAAAATCTCCTAATCTTACAACATTAAAATAAAATGATATGTTGTAATATATTTGTTCCTAATATAAATGGGCATGTTTCAATATCCAGATATGTTTGGATGTTTGTTACACAATCAAAAAGAACTTAACAGGTTTCGATAAAATTCAACACAGATACATAACAACAAGATTTACACACAATATAGGATCTATAACACTTAACATGTCTGAACTTTATAAAAAAATAATTACATAATTACAATTTTGTATATACATAGATACATGACATTCTAACAAATCTTCTATTTGCCTTCATAATACTACATTAATTTTTTCAACGATTCATATTTTATTAGTGTATTTATCATTATTGAGAAATATTTCAATAACTGATATAATACATATTTATACTGATAACTGAATGTTATTGTTTTAATATTCCTCACTTTGTGATTTGGTCTTCTTATGACATAAATGACATAATTCAATAAAGAAGTGGAAGATGTTTCTTATCTATCTAACTAGCAAAAGTCAATTTAAAGAGAACCTTCGACATGTGACTCTCGGATCATATGTAATATTAAACGCTTGCTTTCGCTTTCATCCTCGTGTAATGTTCGTAGACAGTACACAATATTCAAATATATATTCTGAATACTTGATTTTAGAAACGACTTATTCGTTTCCAAAAATAATTTTAGTTCCATTAACAATGGTCCAGTAACATTGCTAAGTGAATAGCAAGAACAGACATTTGAGTTTGTAATGTTTTAATATACTCGTATTAATTGGGATTTTCAAATGAACATAAAAAAAATAATCTTTTCACAAGAATAAGTTTGGTTGATGTTTTTTCCTTTGTATTTTAAGTTATCTAGATTTTAATGAGAAAGTTATGCAACTTTTTATGTAGAGCCATAATTATATATTTGTACATTAATGTTTAAATTGTCCTTATTACACCAGCCTTAATACCTTCTAAAGGAATATTTTTCTTATAATTATTTTAACGGAATCTAGTGGTTCTTCAATACGGAACGATTTCTAGGGATATCTATTTGAAATATTTTATCATTCCATTATTATTTAAATTTAATTCTCATATTTATTGTAACGAAATTAGTTATACAATATTTGAATTCCTAAAAAGATTATTTATTTAACAATTTAAAAATATTTTTTTAATATCATCGTAGTTATGTTATTGGTGCTTTAAAGTTATTAAAGCAATAAAGTGTTTTAGTAAATATATAAATTTTAAGTGTAAATAAAAACACTAGCTTTATTTTTATGTGTATTTAATGGGGTCAAGATTTTTGTAAGATGTTCTAAACTGATCTATAGTAAACAATATGGAAACGATAAATAAATTTGAATAGAAAATTCTTTCCTTTCATTATAAATATTGGTAAATTAATTTAAAAAAAAGTTTTATGGATACGTCACCGGGTAAGAATTTTTCGTCGTCAATTTCGTACTTAAATAATTGTTTCTATTAATTTTTATTTGTTTAAATATGATTAAAAAAATTAACATCTCATTGATCTTGAACTCAATCCACCTGAACTTTCCCTTGCTTTTTTTTCAAATATATGTTATAATCAAATTGTATGCAAACCATTATTCAAATTGAATGTTTAGCGTCTGCTAGTAACACACGAACACTTTCACATTTATATTTATATTTTAAGATAGCCTGCATTTGTTCGTAAAAAGGATTTACAGTATAAAATACATATTTTAACACATAATAAAAAAGTGCACATTAATCTGCTATTACCTATAAAATTGATTTTAATTATAGTAGGTATGTTTTAAGTATGTTTTTTTAAGCACATCCGGAAACAAAATAAATAATTCTTCAGTACTTGCAAGGTCACAAAATTTTTTTGTTTTACTTTAAGATAATGTTAAATAAGCAGTTAGCTACTGATATTTCTATAAAATATGATTATTATTATTTACTTATACCTGAAATTCGGAGTCGATTCTTTAATTTTATGATAGAACATTTTTATTGAATTTTAATAGCTTGCTGACCTTTGGTTTATTTTAGTCTTGATGTTAATTTTTATGGTTATTTTCTTGTTTTAACATTTTATCTTATTATGAATAAATATTTAAGTCTTTTGTTTAGGAGTAATTCGTCAAATTAAAATGATTCCAAGCTATGTCAGCTTAAAGTAAGTGGTTAATGTAATTCTAAAATAATTTAATACTACAAAATATGACATAAACGAAAAGGATAACAAAAGTAAAGGAATTAGAAATTAAACATAAATTTTTATATTGCATTGTCATCCTTAATCTTAAAAAATATTAATATATGTACTTATGGCCACATTTAAATTTTATAACTACCGTAAACAGGCAAACCCGTTTAACATCTGTAGTGGTGTTACCAGAAGGCTCTACGATTGCCTTGACCTCGTCTCGCTGAGAGCCCTTAACCTGCTTCTGAACTTCAGATTCCAAAACCAACATCCCAGTGAGCTGTTTGACAATTAATAAAATACTTTTTTAAACAACTCAGTGATCAGTGACACAAGAAATACGAAAAATTTATAAAAAAAATGTGATGAAACAGTTTATTATTTGGTATATGTTATAGTTTTGGGTAATTATTTTTACTATTCAGTTAGTTGGCCTGTGGAACCATAGAAATATGTGTCAGCATGATTTGTAAACTTTGACCTTTCATAAATGATTTCAATGTGATTGCTTTGCTATTGAAGAATAGGACATCAACATATGCAATAGTATGTGTCGATTAATCACTTTTGAGAAACAGAATGTCTGATATATAACCTTATAAAAAATGTATGACGCCTTTTAATGACTCGATCTGTCAGTTAATTTTCAACGACCATTCAAAATATTTGCTGCTAATAAGCATGGATTGATACTAAAATTATAAATACTATTTACTATAGTACGGTTTTCTTTCTTCTTATTAAATCAATGAATAATAATATCCTTTAAAAAAAAATAAAGAGAAGAGAAGAAGTAACCAAATTTGAAAAGAACCTACTAAAGTTTCTAAATATAAATATATTCTGTACAGGCCCACAAAAAGTTGGTTGTAGAGAGATTTATCTGTTATATTCTTAGTAAGTTCGTTGGTTAGTGCGTAATAAGTATTGACTTTGATGGCATGGTCCTTGGGGATTTCGGTTTCCCAAAGAATTGTGAGCTCTATTTAAGCAAATTGTATTAAAATGGGAGAATACAGAAACATGTCTAGTCCTGACGCCTACTCACAAATATCCTCTGGAATTTTATAGTTTTTTCTTATATATATCCACCATTATAATCAAATTCGGAGCCTCTTTAAGGATAGAGTAAGGCTTGATGTTTGATTTTATAAATCTAGTGTTTTTTCTCATAAAACCTATAAATAGCTCGTTATCTCTCTTTGAGCTCTGCTACCGAAAGATTAACCGCTTTATGTAAAATTTCCAGAACTATATTGTGACGACGCAATATTTTTTTTGTATGTTGATGTAAGAGAGACTGTATTAAATAATTCTTTGATCTTCTAATATTGCATTGTATATAAAACTAGTTTTTCTTTATATATTTTATTATATAATACTATTTATTATTTGGTACTGGAATTCGTAACAATTTACTGATGCTTTCAGTTTTAAATATCAATTTGATCGATAAATATTTAAAGATAACGAAAGAAATTACACTTATTATACATTCATGAAAAACTCGTTTTTAGGATAGCTATTACTCCTAGTATTTATTATTACATAATTGGTAATTTATTCAAGGACAACTTCTTTTTATAAAAGGTATATTATATTGTTGTTTCTAATATACATATTATGTTAATATTGATAATAAATTATTATTTTCGTCTATCCTATCTAAAGATTGGCATAATAATGAATATTTAAAAGTTTTACAATATTAGCAAAATCTGCATTCGTATTATTGTACATATCAATATTTATTGCAAAGAAAGTACGAGGTTAAATAATTGTAAATAATATTTAACTGTCAAACTAGCGTATGAATAGGTAAGCTTTCACATAATATTGTCGAATTATTCTGACGCTTGCTATGGTGCAACATTGACCGGGAGTGGAGGCGGTACGGTAACCACTGTATATATACCGATAACACTCTAACACCAACATTGTCTAGTGCATTCAACATTAAACAAAGCAACATGAAAATCATCGTAAGTGTTAGTGCGTGTGACGTGTGACGTGATCAATACAATGGTGACAGGATCTAATCTTTTCTTTTATCTTTTTTTTTGTAGATTGCTCTTTCCCTCTTGGCGGTTGCCTTCGCCGCCCCTCAAGCCCCCTCGGAGCCGATCCCAATTCTTCGTCAAAACAGTGAAAGCAACCCTGATGGTTCCTTCCAGTATTCCTTCGAAACCGGAAACGGTATAGCTGCTGAAGCCAGCGGAGGCCTGAAGGATGTCGGCGCTGAAGAACCAGCTCTGCAAATCCAGGGACAATTCCAATATCCCAGCGAAGATGGAAGCAGCATCCAACTGTCTTACATTGCAAACGAGAATGGATACCAACCCCAGGGATCAATCCTCCCCACCCCACCTCCAATCCCTGCTGACATCCAACGTGCGCTGGACTACCTTGCAACCGCCCCCCCTCAACCTCAACAATAATAGCCTTATGAATAATTATTCCCAACAAATGTAACTGGGAGTAATAAATGTGAATAAATAATTTTAATGTAATAACAAAACAAAGTAATGATAAGCAAAGAAATCAATCGAATTTGTATGAAATAAAATACAAAGTTAATTTTAATTAAATGAGGCTAAATAGAATAAAATGTTCTGGTTAGATTGATTTCGGTGCTTGCTCATTCTTTGTTTGATTATTAGAGGGTCGCAATGATGTTTTGTATTGATTTTGTATATAATTTTTCTACATTTATTTAAAGAGTTTTTTTAAAATCTGCATTTTACTATCTCATTCCCTCTCATTATCACAAATTTTTTTATTTACATGCAGTAAAGAATTATTCATTTCAAAAAGGTATTTAAACATACTTCATTTCACATAAACAGAACCAAATATAATAATAAATTTTTATGTCATAAGTTTTAGAAAAGTACAGGGTGTTATAATATATATTTCTTGCATTATAAGAGTAGTGATCCCAGAATTAATAAGCCTATTATTTTTCGATATCCGTCAAAAATTCATAAAAATTGGTTAAATTGAATAAAAAAATCACACAGATATCTTGTATAAGAAAAAAGAAGTAGTTAACATTTTAATTGATATTTAAGCATAAAATAGCAAACCATTTTATATTATTTATATTAAGCAGATGTTATTCCGCTACTTTACTGATAGTCCTTTTTTATTTCGTAGATAAGTAAGACAAAAATAGTGCTAAGAGTTTTTTTGTTGAAATAAAACTAAATTAACAAGCAAACATAATTGTCAAACAGAGAGGCCGCCAATAAGTTATATAAGTTAAGCGCTGTTAAAACGAATGTCGAAAATCATTTGCTTCATCAAAGTTCAGCGTTTCAAATACATGTGATTTGTGATTGCGACTACAGATCATATTCAGAGTGACCTGGCCGACCTCTCGCCGGTTGTAATAATAGCCGTTGACATTTAACAAATCGAAACGAAACTAGTTCTTGAGGCCTGTGGGTGCAAAACATCTTTACACTATGACCACACGCTTTATTGACTAGTTTTGAAGATTTATTTTTGGTAGTTTTTTTTGAAGGTCAACGAGGGTATATTTTTTTGATGATCCCGTCCGCTTTAAATTTTATCTAGATATTTTTTTTGTATCGTAGCAATATCTTTGATATGTTATATATTTATTTTATTTTTCCAACGTCGAAGATATAATGATATAGGTGATTATACAACATTATGACTCAATCATATCTCGAGGCGCTATTTGTAAGAAGAAATAGGATGATTAAAAATATGTGTATGTACAAAATATGGCTCATATTTCGTAATTTCTTTAATAATATTGTTTGTTTTTACCGTCTTTTTGTAGTTTTAAACTCAGAATTGCGTAATCTAAATGATTTTAAATCAAACGTTAATAAAGCTAATCAAGTTCGAAGAAATAATTAAATGAGTACGTATATTGAATATTTTTCTTTTATTTTAAATATCAAATGTCAGCAAAGTTGAATAGTCGTATGCTTTTTAGTGGTGGCAATTGCTTAAAACTTGATTATCGCTTGAAGGTGAATCTAAGTAACCTAAAAAGTAATAAATTACGCAGTTACTAAATATCTAATTTTAGTTTAATAGTTTTGTATATAATAACTACTGTCGCTTTAACGTTTATTTATATTGATTTCTTCACAACTGTTGAACATATAATTTAATGTGGGTTGTCTGAGGAGTTAAAATTGATCTGTTATTTAATCTGAAAATAAATATAATAATAAATATAATATAAACTATGCGACTTTATTAAAAAAACAGTTTTACTAAGTTTTCAACAGTTTTACCACGATAGGTCTATTTAGTTTGTGACTTACTAGAAGTATTATAATTTCAAGAAATTTAGTTCATGAAGTAATAAAATTAGGCCTAATATTAATGAAGTTTATTGTTTTAATTTATGATATTTTGCTTTAAAACTGACAGTCAAAATATCAATGACTAGCTATATAATATTAATTATGAATGCATGTGTGGGTGTTCACAATATATAACTTGGAAACAAGAGATATGAAATTTGAAAGTTGCTATTAAAATTATTATCTACCATAACATTACTTTAGTTATTTTATGGATAAAAAGAATTATGGGTGTATGATATTCATATAAAAAGTTTATCAAAAACAAAAACAATGTGATACAAATCAAATTATAAAATTTTTTTGTTACTCCTTATACTGGTCAAATATTTTATAACCTTGTTATTTGTGAAGATTCAAATAATCATTTCGATGCTAGGCTTCATTGACACTGAAATTGCAAAAATATATAAATATATATAAATTATTATATTGTAATGAATTCTCATATAATTTTGAAAACTTTCTTGAGAAAAAAGTAGCAAACAGTGTAGGTGAGCGTTTAACTCGTGTTAGATAGGGGCCTTTTAAACCTACAATTGGGTTGCAATTCCCAGGCACTGTCGCAAGCTTCTGAGCTTGCAACGCGATGGACCCGGCACCCGCATGGTGAATCCATGAAATGCTGAGAGGTTTCATCTCTGGCGTTTTGTTTTATTTGAAGACTCCCGTAGATTTTTTACCAGCATCTAAAACATACAAATACATGAATGATATATTCTAAGTAAGTTAGATAAATTTGAAAGTTTTAATTACATATTATGCTCAGGCTTCATTAACATTCGAGAAGTGGAATATTTTACCAATGCCAGCGTTTTTATTTATTGAACGATAAAATTCTTTAATAGGTTATAAAAGTAATTTTTACAATACTATTTAATTAACGCCTGCTTACTAAAAATAGCAAAAACAAACAGCAGTGCTTAAAATAAGATACCGATTCAGGCACTAGTATATTATATTTCATCACAAAACTATTTTATGTTTGAACATTTAAGATAACTTATACGAATTACGAATAATCTGATTATAATGGAACAGTTCTGATGAAACGCTCTAGTAAAAATGATGAGTGGGATATTATGTAACTTATCCACAAGTAAATAAGAAAACTAAAATGTGTAATCAAAATAATAATTTTAGAAATTGTAATTTGTGTTCCTCTAGAGGTTGTATAACTTTTTTCAAAAATCTTACGAACAGATTTGAAATAATTTCAGATGGTAAACTTTCCATCCCAAGCCATTCCAGAGATAGTTATGTAATTTCCAAGACCTACCTACGATAACAATCATAGGACATTTTTATTTAACACGATACCAACGATTTTAAATACAAAATTTTTAATACCAAACTGTTACCTTTTAAAAAGTATGATGTGGAACTTCGTTTTTTAGTATAAAGTTCACTGCTCTTAATTGTTCTTTAGGTTCAAAATCAAAATAATTAACATAAACTATTTAAACAGCATAATGTAAAAAAAAAAAAACAGTAAAGGAGGAAGTTGTGCGTCGCGTTGAGGATGAAAAACATTAATTAAAAAACAGACACTTTTGACCTTTGAATTCTATTAAAAAATATATCAATGAACAAAAAATCATCTCGTCTGCCCGTGATCACAGTTGCTGAAAAGTAAACGAAATGTCGAAAATATGAAGTATAATTAGAAAATATTTCAATTAAATGAATACTCGCAAAAGCCTTAGACCTCATTAAATAAGCAAAATATCCTCTCTTTTGAAAGCGGTATGGAAGTAATGCACGTGTTAATGGAAGTGAATGAAATTAAGGAACTGTATACAAATCCTAGAAAATGTGTATGATTCCGATACTATTTAGGAAATGTATAAAATTATGCGTGTAAAACTATTTAATGCTTAGATATCCTAGAAAATGCGTAAAATTCCTCGAAATTGTATATAATTGAAATACCGTTTTATTAAAATTTTTCGAACAGATGTTTTTCTGTAATAAAATATGTTGTTAAAATGAGAATAAAACCTAACCCAGCGCAATAGCCGGATCAGGTGAAGCAATACCCTCTCCTCGTCCCGCTATCCCCACGTACCCATCAATATCTTAAATATTTTACATTTTTGATTGCTATTTAGAAAAATGTGTTTAATATAATTAATTTCTCACATTTCCGTGCAAGTTTAGGAATTACATACATTTCTTCGGAATTTCTATATACTATATATTATAATTCCTATATATTATACAATTGTATATAATGACGGATTTCGTACGTTTCCGTTAACATATGCAAATATATAATTCATATATTTATATATTTAGGATATGTATTATATATATTTTTTAATTTTTTTTATGACTATCTTGTAAACAAAATTTGTCCACTTTTCTGTATATGTTTTTGCTACGACAACAGATCTTAAATAGTATTGAATTGCCTCTGAGAACCGGATTATTAAGTTTTCTGTCTAAAACATGCCAGAGGTTAACTTCTGTAAGTGTTTTCTACCTTGTTTGCACAAACCTGGTTGCTTGCTAGTTCTTTTCTAGAATAAGAACGCCAGCCCTCCGTTTACTTCTTTTGTCAGGTTATTCCGACATTGATGATTGCAGAAAACCACCACCTTATCAAATCTTATTGAAGAAATAGATAGATAGATAGATAGATAGATAAAAACTTTATTTGGTCCACACCACAACATGAGAAAAATAAAATAAAATATAAACAATAAGGAAATATTAAAATACAAAAAAAAAGAATAATAATAACTAAACAAGAAAATAAACTTATAGCTAACTTACAAGAATAATTACATCAATGGTTACTTAGTCTAAATTAAATTATATAAACTAAAAAAGATTTCCTACCACAAAGCTATAAAAAACAAAAAAAAAAAGAAAAATAGAAAAATTATAATAATTAAAAAGACTAAAACAAAAAAAAAAAGTGTAAATAAATTTTGCACTGGTGTGGCATCCAAAATGGAAAACCCCATCAGTTAAAGCTGGCATAATACAATCCCAGCACTGATTTTCAGAGGCCTCCATGTGACGGTGACGTACGGGCGCGTAAGCGTGGCAAATAAATTATTAAAGAATTAAAGATTAAAGAA